ACACACTCACACACACACACTCATGCTTGATAGTGTGATAAAACACTGCAAATTTTGCAAGAATTCGCGTAATAGCTTCCGGTTCAGCAGCGACAAAAACAACAAACAACGGCAGTGCGTCGGCTGCTCTTTCGCTCTCTCTATACACTCTCGAGTCATCTCTCACTCACCAGCTCTATCTCTCTCGTTCTATCGAAACATATGGCAACGTCGCACCGCACCGCTGCTGGCTGCTTTTAGTTCTAAACGATTCATTGCCGCGTACGTGCGCGTTTTTTAGACGCAGCTTTGATTCTATTCATTTCGATTTGTAATTTGTTGTTGTGTCTTTAGTGTTTGTTTGCCCACTTTGATTCGATATTTGCTTATAATAATGTTTGTGCAACCATCAACAACAATAACTATCAAAACGACAACGACCACAATAGCGAGGATTGCAACAAACGTTTTTGCTGGCTAATGCATAAGTGTGAGTTGTGTGCTTAGTACTTCCAATGCCCCCCTCTCTGGCTCTCACTCGCGCTCTCTTTGTCCCTCTGCCTCTTTGTGAGTATGCGTCTCAGCTGTTACTGTGTTCCTTTTGCTTGCCTGACTCTTTTCTTAGGCGCCCCTTTCAAATGCCTAACTACAGTGAATATTTCTAATGAGGCATAGCTTAACTTAGTCAGTGCATTTTGTTTAATTATTGTATTATTAACTAAATTGTGTAATTGTTTGATATATATTATTAAGAAATTGGAAATTATATGCAATTTAAACAAATTGTATTTGAAGTTCAAATTTTGAACACTTATGTATATGCAATTGTAATTGCTTATGTTTACTATAGCGTGATTTCACCGTACATATATCTGAGTGTAAATGCGCAACGTTTTCTTATCGCGCGTTTTGCTTTACGTCGTACGGCCTATCAGTTTTCTATAAGTGTGTGCGTGCGTGTGTGTGAGTGTATGCGTGCCTGTTTGTATTGATATTGCATTTGCACAAGAAGTAGGTTATGGCAAAATGAGCAACAACAACATTAACAGCAATAAGAAGAGCGAGGAGTAGTAGAAGAAAATCAATCAGCAAAGTGGCTCAGCACGCAGTGCCAGTGCATGTAATTAACACGCAACCAACTGTTGTTGTCTGCAGCTGCTGTGCTCCTCGAGCTCCTCCTGCTCTTTCTAACTGTTAACATTTTGTGTCGTGTCTTGTGTGTATTGATATAATGCCTATTGAGGGGTGGTGTAGAAAAAATGTAAAGATAAGAGACGATTGGAATATGAAGATCAGCAAAGTTTTCAAGCGACTCTCGCCATGTCTTCTATATCAGTGCAGCGACACAATTACGCTATAATTGAGTGCGTACGAGCAATAGCAACTCTATGTAAACAAACATGTTGCAGCAATTCCCCCCGAATGGAAAGTGTGAATTCAAAAGAGACAATCAAACACCACTCGCTCCCCCTCTCTCTCTCTCTCTCTGCCTGTCTGCACTCTCTCTTTGTGCGTCTATGCGTTATTTATCGATTGAATCTGTGCTGTTGCTGATGGCGTTGGTGATGTAATTTGCATAAGCAACAAATACAACTACAACTACATCATCCGACAACTCTGCATGCCGACCGCAGCCTCTGAGCAGCTGGCAGACCACAGACTACATAATTTTTGGAGCGAATTTCAGGTTTGATGCCCACCATAGCGTAGGCAGCGCAAGCGCACTGAATATATGTATGTTCTTCAAATACCCTAACTAATCAGAGTCCTTGCAGCTATGAAATGCCATATGCTTATATTACAGATATAGATGATATGTATTGCTTATGCAAATTATTAAAATAATTAACGAATATGAAATCCAAATCATTATAAGGTTCATTTCTATATCGTCGAATAATATGGCAGACTCTTGAAAGAGTATAGACAATTAATTAGTTTGATTGCCGCAACTCTTTGAATTTGCCGGCTAAGCGGACAAAATCAACAAAATAATAAACAATCGAAATGCCTTAAGCCGTGTTGGCTTGTTCTATACAAATAAAATTATAGCAAGTGGCGATTGATGAGTTTAGTCGAAACGATTTGACGATTTGAGTCAGCAGCGGCCGCTGTGAAATCGAAATCCAACTCATCAGCAGCGGCAGACGTCAGCGTTGCCTCAGTCTCTGCCTCACCTGCTCCGCCATCTCCTGTTATGCTCCACCCACCCGCCGACAGACGAGACGACTCGACTCGAGTCGAGTGTGTCATGTGGCTGGTCTGGTCTGGCCTGGCTAAACATACAGCCGAGAGAGTCGCCGACGTCGTCGTCGTCGTCAGTTGCTGCTTTTAGACAATGCTACAAGTTCCTACACCTACGACCTAGAATTTGCCGAATATGTCAACAGGTATATAGAGGCAGTCAGTATATATTTATGTACATACAATAAATTATTATATATAGATTGTACGTCAAACGCTAGTCTATGCCTATATATATTTTATATATGCACACATATATATTAAGATATATGTTTATATAAACATTGATATGTTTTAGCAATTGAAAAATTCACGTATTGCAACCAGTTTTAGTTTCTTGGTTTATTTTATATGAAAGGCTAGGGCGTGGCACTCGATGACCTTGAACAACATTTACATACATACATACATAAGTATCAAAATCAATATTAATATAAACACTTAAAATTTACTGTAGGTTCAATTCGTTCGCTTAGCCATTTCGAATGAGATTTCGAAACAATAAAATTTAATTATTATTTATTTAATTATTTAAAGTTCTCTAATGTATATGTAATGCATAATGAATATTATATTATATAAGCATGTTCTCTTTGGTGTTGCATCAAAAGCTATTTTCAGCTCCATTTCGTTTAACCCGTTCTTCATTGTCTAACATGGTTCGCTTTTGAACCTACGACCTCTGGTTGTTTATAAGTGCGGCGCTCTTTGGCCTGCGCCATGGTCGAAAGCTGTCGCCCAGCTGTCGAAAGTGATGCTCTTTCATTCCAGTTGGGGTGGGCTCAATCACAACATGCGCAGTACGCTGCTCTTTGGCTGATATGGGCCAAGTTTGACAAGCCGGGCAAGTTGGTTCCATGGTGTAATGGTTAGCACTCTGGACTCTGAATCCAGCGATCCGAGTTCAAATCTCGGTGGAACCTGGCTTTATTCAAAGTCGCTTTATTTTTTTAATTTTTTAATTAAGTATGTCGATATACGTAAATAAAAATTGTAATGGCAAAGAACAATTGTTTATGAATGATTCAAAGTTTATTCTTTGATAAGCGTATTTAATATTGTGCAATTGCGGTTGATAATTATATTTGTAATTTAACTGGAACTGAGATTGAATATGGAGTGTAAATAATTATAAATAGATAAAAGGCTGCATATAGTCACATTTAACAAGAAAAAGTTATGAATTGTAAATAATAAAAAATAAAACCAGTCAGAGTTATTCACAAATATTTTCCACATAAAGTTGTCTAAATGAGTTATTAAATGGAAACAAATAATTTACAAAGTATTTAAATATATTTATATAATCTATAATTAAAATTTTCATTAATACACAAATTGTGGAAATTAAAATATTTTCTAATAAATGAATATCACAATTTTATATAAATTTCATTTATAATTTTATCTTGTGTGATAAGTTAGGTGCTCTTAAATAAAAATAGATAGAGATAGCTGTACATATATTTATTTATTTATGAATGTACATATGGGTATATGTATATGTGTATGTCATTTGGATTTTAGTTAAGCAAATGCGTGGAATTTATTAAATTCAATAAATTTTATAGCCACGCACACGCAGCTAAAACCGTAGCCATAAATTAGAACGAATAAGTTGAGCAAAAATAAATGCCAACTAAATTACTTAAGAGCAAAGCAAACACGCACATACACAAACACACATACAGAGGGAGAGAGAACTCCGCTAAGCAGCCCACACAAACGCTGCCAAAAAGCTTGGCCCAGTCAATAACAGCAACAACTCGAGTCAAGTGTCGGTCAGTCACATAATGTTTGTCATTTAGCTTGGGGGCAGCCAATTTGTAGCGCACTTTCATTGGCAACATGTGGCAACGCCGGCCACAACAACAATTGACACAGATTAGCAGCAACAGCGGCAGCAGCGGCAAAGCTAGCTGCATTCGCGTTGTAATTTTTATTAGATAAAAGCAAAAGAGAAAAAATTGTGTCAAGGGGGCTGCCTGACAACCAACAGTAGTAGTTGTAGCAACAGCAACAACAACAACAACAATAACGACGACAATACAAATTAAATAAAATTAGCGTCTATTTTGCACGAAAATGTGTGTGAAAACAATTGGAGGAGATGGAAGATGGGCGCCATAAGCCAAATGCGAGCAGCAAAGCCTAGCGAAAAAAATTTACACACGAGTCTAGCGACCGCGACGAAGGCAGCGCCGCGCCGCGCACGCTGACATTGCCGGCTGAACGCCCTACACATGCGCGCTGCTGTGTTGCTATTGCTGCTCTATCTTCGTCTCTCTCTCCTTCTTGCCTCTGGCGCTCTCCTGCTCGAGAGCTTGGTGTATTTGTGCATGTGTGTGTGGGCGCATAATGAGAATGAGGTTTTCGTACGACATTGAACTCGAAATGTGGGACTGAAGAATAACGAGTAAAACAAAAATATGGAAACAAGAAAACGAAATTAAAGCAAATATCGTGTTGGCTTTGCTTTACCACTATGTACGTTTAGTTATTGCTGGAGTTTTTTTTTTTTTTTTTTTTATATTTCTTTTTTCATTCTTTTCTTTCGGATTATTGCTTGTGCTAGGTGGCAGCCCTTTCGGCAGTAGGCATTGCCTTGTTTTTCAATAGTAATAACACAAGCAGTAAAAAACCAAAAAAGTAGAAAACAAGTTTATTTTTGCCAAATGCTGCCTGTTTAACGGTATATTAAGTGCATTATATTACTTAATTTTCCTCTGCACCCTTCATACTAATTTTGGACATATTATTTTGTTTTGTTTTTACAGTTGCGCTTAAGAAGTTACTGGAATAAGGAGCGACTGTATTGCAATTGAATTGAGCAACAAATCAATTGTTGATCAACAAAGATAGGCGCGCACGTACTCAGACACTTATACACATTCACACACACACATCAAACAATATGGTGGACTATTACCAAGTATTGGATATTGCACGCACTGCCACTGACGGTGAAGTGAAAAAAGCGTGAGTATTGGAAACAGCCTGGAAGGGAAAGAGAGGATGTAGCGCTCTCTCAATTGTTAAGCTGCACTTGAGTCAGCTCTGATCTCTTTGACATTGAGTTTACGACGAATGGCACGCTCACAGTGGAATGTATTCTGGAATGTCGTTAACTCTAGCCAAAGAGCTCTAGCTTAAGAGAGCGCAACATGACATGCTCTGGCTCTGTTTTGATTAATGCATTGTGTTAATTTGTTTTCGCTCTAATTAATTTCTCCATCATCTACAGCTATCGAAAATTGGCACTCAAATGGCATCCAGATAAGAATCCGGACAATTTGGAAGAGGCAAACAAACGTTTTCGTGAGCTCTCCGAGGCGTACGAAGTCTTATCGGATGGTAAGTCAACCACTTACACAGTGCTGCCCATAAGTTCTATTCCCGTTTCGAAGTGTTATAGCAGAGCTGTAGGGCCACATTTGAATCAATTGGTTATCCTTGTTGTTGTTGTTATTGTTGTCGATGTATTTAGCCCGTAAGCGACGTATCTACGATGCTCGGTCCACGCTGCACAAAGCGTCAGCAGCGAGCAGCAACAGCAGCAGCAGTTATTCCCGTTATCGCAGCGGCAGCGGTGCATCCTCAACGAGTGGTCGCAGCTACGACTACGACCATTATTATCCCAGCTACGGCAGCGGGTCAGCCGGCAGTAGGCGTGGCAATCGCTATCAGGCATTCACCTTCCGCAACTTGTTCGAGGGCACGCCGTTTCACAAACTGTTTGGTAAAAAGATTGAAAAAAGAGAGTACAAGCGCATGTTTTTTTTGTTTTTTGTTTTTGCATTATTTTGTGGCTATGCCATTGTTATGTTGCTTTATCTGTTTTCGTTTTTACTCTTTACGTATCCAACTGGGCGTGTTTACAAGAAGTGTAAATAGCTCGGTATGAGACGAAATGCAGAAATGGACTTCAAAGATTATGCCAATATCTAGTATTGAATATAGATGTCGAGAGCTTTTTACTTCAGGAGCACAGAGGCTTGAAGTCAATAAATATGTATAGCGGATCGGGTAAAGTTGATCAGATTAGTTTTTGTTCAAATTGAGTATCGATAATTATCGATTAACTGGGCTGAATTTAAAAAGGTTAGGAAAAGACTTTCAATAATAACCTGAAGACCATGGAAATACAATGCAATATAAACATTATTTGATATTTTATAGATAATACCAATATTTCACTTTCATTGCCTATCTAGATGAATAAACATGTCAGTCAATTTACTTTTGGAGATCAGTCCCAAGATATGACTGTTTAAGTGTTATTTTTTCAAACAATGGGCAGTAATTACTGGTTACAAGGTATTTCCTAGTCGGTCACTGCTCCGATTAGCGCACAATTTGTTTTTGCCTATTTGCTAAACTGACGAACAACCTTGAAGCACACGAATTTACTTTTTTTCTTTGACTTTTCGTTACGTTTTTCGAATTTTTTGTTCGTTTTGTTTTTGTTTTTTGCAAATGCGCGCAAACTACAAACTACAGCCAAACGACATGAAAAGCAACATCATCATCATTATCATTGCCGTCATTAGTATCAGCATCTTCATTAGCATTAGCATCGGCATCGGCATCAGCATCAGCATTGAGCGCAGCTAGTTCATCAAGTGCAATTGTTTAGGCCTTGTCTAATGCTCCGCCCGCGTGTTTCTTTCTACTAAAAAATAAAATAAAAGAAAATCAAGAAAAGAGAAAAGAAATTCGAAATACACTGAAAGAGAATCTGCTTAAAAAAATTGTGCTTGCATTTACAGAGAAGAAACGCCGCATTTACGATGAGTACGGCAAGGATGGATTAGGGGACCGGGCACAGAGCCGTTCGCATGCTCGTCATCATTATAATACACACGACTTTGATGACTTTGACATCATGGGCGGCTTTCCATTCGTGTTCCGACCACCCGAGGAGGTCTTCCGAGAGTTCTTCGGCGTCAATTCGCCCTTTGCCGATTTCTTTAGAGGTAAGCGGAAATAAACACAAATATAGATCGAGTATATACATATATATATTATTTTGTACTCTATTTCAGTTGCGGATGGCAATGGCTACTCGCAGTCCAATGGCGCCACTAGCAGCAGTCGACGTCATGGCGGACACGGTGCCCACAGCAGCCTTAATGGCGGCGGCGGTGCAGCTCGCCATCATCACCATCACCAGCATAAGATGGCGAGTCCATTCGGTGCGCCCATGCTCAACTATTCAATGATGGACTTCTTCATGCCAACCGGCGGCTTCACCTCCTTCTCTGCCAGCAACAGTGTCGCCACCGGCGGCGGTCTCCACAGCAACGGAGCGGTCAAACGCACCTCCACCTCAACGGTATTTGTCAATGGCAAAAAGCTGATGACCAAACGGTAAGATATTCGATTAGATATTGTTTATACAATATATACTTAATTATATACAATAGTACGTCTTGAATACATGACAAATATAATTTGTTCAATAATTAAAATATTGTTCTCTGTTTTCCACTTGCAGCGTCGTCGAAAATGGCAAGGAAACTGTCTTTTCATATGAGAACGATGTCCTTAAATCAAAGACTGTGAATGGAGTATCCCAAAAGCTCTCTTCAATAGCGAATTAAACAATTTATAACAAAATGGGCAACAAATACACACTCACACACCCACACACTGATAACAAATTATTTAACATAAACAACAACTGCGAAAGAGAAAGGAGAAGCATTCAAGCTGGATTCAATACGAAGGAGTTTAGCATTGGCGCGAACCTAACAGCAAACAACATAAAAACAATAACAAACAAAAAGTCATAAGTTTAAAACAAAAAGCAAGCAGCACGAAGATAAAGGATTTGGAGGAGGAAAGAGAAGAATACAATGATGAGCGCTTTCTTAATGCTTCGTTGAATAAACAAAAATAGATTTAAAGAAATTGTTCTACATTAGAATTTAGTTATGTTTTAATGAAACCGTTTGATTTGAAGAATGAAGCAACAGCAACGACAAGCAAACAAACAAATAAGCAAGCAGCAACAACACCGATAGCAGCAGCGGCAGAAGCAAAAAAATAACAACAACAAAGGGCTAGCAACATCAAGAAGACCAACAACAGCAACAACTATATAATGGCAATTTATTTAAATTACTTGTAGGGCTTTTATTTTAAAGAAATATTTTGCAAGCAAATTTTAATCGAAATTCTAAACGATATTTGCAATGAATATATACTAGCAAAATTTATGTTGTCAAACAAAAAGTTTAGAACAAACGAGGCCTGAAAAATGAAAATCCATTATGTTTATAATGAACTAAACACAAAAAATAATACGAATATAATGTGCCCCAGCAGCAAAAGCAAGCAAAATAAAACAATTGAAATGCTAAAAGAGAGAAGGAGAGAACGCTTTAAAGCTATTTTAGTTGTTAGGTTTTATTTTTATTTAGTTTTGGGCGGGTTCAGTTGGATGGATGCTGTGTTATCTGTTTAATATGTAGCTATAAACTACCGTTAGTCAATTAAGTTGCCACAATACTTACAACAACAACAACATCAACTATCAGCAGCAACAGCAAAATGACCAATAAAATGCGTTTGCGTTGCATTTTTGTACATTATACAACAACAACTCCATAAAATAAATCTTAAAAAATATATACATATATATATTCATAGTTATAATATTAAATTAATGCAAACAAACAAAAAATAAGAGAATGATAAAAAAAATGCAAAACAAAACATACATTTCTGACATTGAATGTTTATATTTAATAATTATTTAAACTTTTCTTTMATAGTCTATAGTCGTTTTTTAAATGCTTAAGCTTAAGATTACTCTCACATAACCTAATGAGAACAAAACAAATTATACATATATAAACAACGTATTGAACAGAATGAGACACAAAAACAAACAAAACGCAAAAGAACTAATCATAATCGCACACAATTTAATAATGTGTTTTTAGTAGATCATTCTCAGCTAAAACAAAAATAAATTGGAAAAAACGTAAACAAAACAATACAAATATAAAAACAAATGCGATACATGAAACTTGAAATGTGTTTTTATTGTAATTAAAATTGGTTTGAATTTGGAGAATTTCGCGCAATACAGTTGCTGGCGTTGCCACCTGTTAGCGTTCTGCATCAACTATTTGCTCGATAGCTGCCAGCTGGCGATCACGATAACCTGTTGCTTTGCCGATTGTTTTGTAGAATGCAACACTGCACCCTKGCAGAATTGCTGATAATTATTATTATTTTTTTATTAAGTTTATTTTTATAATTTGAACAGTAGTACAAAACATTGCATGGACTTTAAATGGCAGCATACCCGCGTGATGATCAAATGAAATGGTACCACGGCCGCTTAACACGCGAGGCCGCTGACGATTTGCTAAAACAAGGTGCGTACCAGAAAAAAAGATATGTCTATGTGTATGTAGAAGACTCGCCCCAATATTAAGAAAATTCAATTTGTTTATTTTATTAATTGTCACAGGTTGCGAGGATGGCACATTTCTGGTGCGGGAGAGTAGCACGGCAGCTGGCGATTTTGTATTGAGTCTGCTCTATCAGGTAAATGACGCACAACAACAGAGCTAAGCTAATATAGGTTGCACGACTAACAAATACCCTATATGCAAGTCCCTTGCTAAGCACTATCACTGACCAGAGAACACAGTGTCAGTGGCACTATATAACAAGCATTAACCTAAACTTTATTTAGCTATGTTGATGTATTAAGAAAAGCTCATTTTAATTGCTGAGGGCTAGACATAAACATTCATACGTAAAAATTTGTCAATATAGCCACTAGTTCTATGTACTGGGTATGACAACAGGTTGTCTTTACGCATGTGAATAATTTACTGCACATTTGTTGCAGGGCGAGGTCTGTCACTATCAAATCCGACGTCACGGCGAAGACGCCTTCTTCTCTATCGATGACAAGGGACAAACTAAGATATTGCATGGCTTGGAGACATTGGTGAAATACTATCAGCAGGAGCCAAATGGACTGATTACGAAGCTAGCACAACCTCTCATTGGTGATCCACCGCCACCTAATACTCGAAGCCAGGGCGTGACAAACCTGCTGCACCGTGCCACCAGCAAGAATGAGAGCAAGGTGGTAATTGAACTACTGAAGTGCGGCAATCGCAATTTCGATGCAAAGAACAAGGATGGCCAGACGGCGTTGCATCTGGCTGCCATCAATTGCAATGAGGGCATACTGAAGTTGCTACTGGATGCGGGCGTCCAAGTGAATAGCTCCGATTCGTTCGGCTGGCAGCCTCTGCATGTAAGTATGGCATTATAATCCCAGTACGCCACTAAAATATTGTCTACTCTTGCAGTATGCCTGTCGCAAGAAGGATGCCAGCTTCATACGCACCTTGATTGCCGCAAATGCGAACGTGCAGTGCCGTAACATTGAGAACGGCCATGTGCCGCTGCATGAGGCTGCCAAGTATGGCAATCTGGAAGCGGTGCAGGAGCTGCTGGCCGCACATGCTCCACTGCTGCCACGGACCAGCGCTGGTGAGTTTCCCTTCGATCTGGCCAAAGAGGCGGAACAGACGGCAGTCGAACAATTTCTGCTCAACTACAAGCTGCCGCCAGCTAACACGAGTCGCGAGCTGTGGTATCATGGCACCTTGAAGCGCGACGAGGCAGTGGCCATACTCAAGAACTATGCCCAACAGCATGCGCGTGAGATCAGCACGGATCAGCCGCTGGACACTTCCGGCTATTTTCTGGTACGTTACTCTGAATCGCCGGCAGCATCGGGCTATGTCTTAACGCTGCTCGGCGATCAGGTGGTCAAAAACTTTCTCATCTCACAAGCGGATCTCTATCAGAACGGCAACAAGCTGACCTCGAATGGGGTAAGGAAATTAGATTTACTATTTAATTAGAATTATGTAATGAATTCTCCATTTGCTTGGCAGTCAAAATATATGTACATTGATGATGGCCCCTATTGGCCCAGCTTGGAGCACTTGGTGGCGCATTATATGCGTTTCTCTTACGGCCTGCCCGTGAGCCTAAAGTATCCTGTGCCGCCGCAGCCCAAGCCGGAGCTGCCATCGTTTGCCACCATACCACGTCCCAAACACAAGTTACGTGAAAATCCACCAATCAGTCCGCTTCCCAGCGGCTCCAGCAAGCACCCGCCTGCCTTGACCATAAACAACAACATAACAAAGAAGAAACAGAAAGAGAACAGCAGCTCCATGTTCAATACGCTGCGCATCGTAAGCCCCAAGAAGAGTCTCTTCGACATGAACAGTCTGCGCAAGAGCAAAACGAAGAACAAGCGCAGCGATTCGGAGAGCAGCGTCAGCCTGGTGGCTGCAGCCGAGGAACTGCAGGCGGCAGTCCCCATGCTAAAGAATCTCTCCTTCTCAACGGATTTCAGCAATTTCAATGTGGATGCGGGCGATGTGTACAATGTGCCGCGGAACAATACGCCAATCGATCTGCCACCCATTGCCAACAAGACTGAGGACGAGGTGGAGTACTACACCAAGAGCGATGTGGCCATTGAGAGGGAACGTCTCGCTGAACTAACATCGAATGGCTATTTGCCTACCACAGATGTGCACATGCTATTGGACCAGGAGGTCAAACAATTGGATGGCAAACATATGTTACGCTTGGACTCCATGATATCCACTGGCTCCACCGAGAGTGAAATGGCCAGCTATCTGCAACGCAAGTGCAGCGGAGCCGGAGCTGGAACAATTGGATTAAGCAGCGCGGAACTGGAGGCAGCCAAGCAACGGTTCCTTATAAACCGTGACCAACTGGAGCTAGAGAGTGAGATCGGTGCTGGCGAATTTGGTTCCGTCTACAAGGGTTGGCTACGACAAGCGAATGGCCATCGTTTGGAGGTGGCAATCAAGACACTGCGCGACGAGGAGCAGCAGGCGATCAACAAGCAAGAGTTTCTGCGCGAAGCATCTGTGATGATGCGACTGGCGCACAAGTGCATTGTGCGTCTAATTGGCATCTCGAAGGGCGAGATGCTGATGATGGTGCAAGAACTGGCACCACTGGGCTCCATGCTGCAGTACATTCTGGATCACAGTACCGAGGTCAAGGTCAACTACGAGCTGAAGCTGTGGGCCTCGCAAATAGCCTGCGGTAAGTGTGTTCCATTTGCTCCCTTTCTCTGTTTACTTATTTCGCATGATTGATTATACTCTTCTAATCTTCCAGGCATGCATTATCTGGAGACGCAGCATTTTGTGCACCGCGATTTGGCCGCCAGGAACATATTGCTGACCTCCAGACAGCAGGCCAAGATCAGCGACTTTGGCATGTCGCGTTCCTTGAGTGCGGGCAGCGATGAATATCATTTCACTCAAGGGGGACGCTGGCCGATCCGCTGGTATGCGCCGGAGAGCTTCAACAATGGCATTTTCTCGCATGCGAGCGATGTTTGGTCCTTTGGCGTCACATTGTGGGAGATGTTTTCTTTGGGCGCACCGCCCTACGGGGATATATCCAATGTGGATGCCATCAAGCTGGTGGACAGCGGACAGCGATTGCCACAGCCAAAAGTCTGTCCGGCGTACATCTATGCGGTAATGCAAAGCTGTTGGAACTATCATCCCAGAGAGCGGCCCACCTTCGCTTATCTAAAGGAGTTCTTCAATCGTGGTCCCGAGTATCAGAATCTTCCAGAGCTGGTCCAATCGGTGCATATCTAGACATCAGCTTTACTCTATATATAATTTCCTTCAAACTGTGCAATTTCTTTTACACCTACTACATGTATTCATCTAACGTATTATTTTACTTTTCTGCTCGCTTCTTTCCATACATATCCTGACCGATATACTAAGAGCAGCCTCTATATACATACATGCATCTGTATAACTACTTGTACCATATATAACATATATGTATATTTTTAAATGTATTTTACATATTTGTAAACAATTTGTGTCAAATAGCGAACAAGTGCCTTACATTATATTATAACAATTATCCATTATGCAAATGATTTTTATACATAAATAAGTCTTTTATTGGATTTCGGTTCTTAGCAGCGTCTTCTTCCACAACAGTCCCTTTACATGACCTAATTTAACAGCAATCTGTAAAGAAACTGTTAAGGAATTCGTTGCATACCCCTTAACATGCTCAAATTTAACAGCAATCTGTAAAGCAAGCATTTTGTAAAGCCGGCTGAAAATATGCAATAGTTTTATGTTGGTTTCATATAACACATTTATTACAAATTCAATACAAAATATATATATTATATACCTTAAAAGCTACATAAATGAAGCTTATTAAGCTCATCATGTAGATAAAGCAACATTGTAAATTGATTGGATATTGAATATTCGTTCAATTACTTCAGCTATATTAGTTGACGGCCCGAAAGTAATTGCCGTTTTCTTCAGATACATTTCATTTAGAGCATTTATTGCAAATTGATATAAAATGTGTTGAATATTTATAGAAGTTGTTAATGTGCTTACGTTCTATGTTAGTTCAGGTATTTAGATCAGTTATAGATCATAATGTGTATATAAAGCAAAGTTGCAACTATATAATAAAAAGGCCAAAAACAAAGGCTTCAAATGTATGGGATTAGCAGATCAAATATCAAATCGAGCCGTTCATCGCCTGCTGCACATTCGAGGTGGAGACCAGCTTGAGGGCGTCCATGATGCCGTTCAGGTTCTGCTCATTGTATGCCTGGCCCTGGAGCGGAGTAACCACCGGGACCAGCTGTTCGCTTTGCGGCAGCTGAAGAGAGATTTTAGTCATCAGACCCTGCAAGAGAAGGAGAACAATGCCTTAGAAACTTGGAACGTATTGAAGCAATTGCAGATAATGTCTTACAGCTTCCACTTCGACATTCAGCTTGAGCTTCATGCCACTCTCATTGCCCTTCAGCTCGAGCTCCTTCTCGACAGTAAACTTCGGCGTCTTGCCAATGACCCAATCCCAAGAGCTGAAGTTGGCACGTAGATCGTTGATGCCGGGGAACCATTTCTCTGTGGGATTGATCAGCTGAAAGCCACGCTGGTTCATTGTCTGCGTGCTGCCGCCATCCTCCAGGGACGTTGCTGCGGTCCGCAAATACTCATAGCCCACGGCCGAGAGCAGCTGCTGCACATTCACGTTGCGATTCACATCGGCCAGATTGCGTATGGGCGATGGCACCGATGCCGTGGCGCGGCTAATATAATTGACCTTCTCCTTAACCAGCGACTCGCTCAGATGCAACTTGTTGGCCGTGGCCAAAATGGTGCAATGATGATAAGCATTGGGACGACCCAATTTAGCAGCCGTGCCCGAAATCTGAAAAATAATAAAAAATAGTTTTAATGATTGCAAATTAATTTCGAACAGATAAGCCTCAAAATTAGTAAAATTGATAGTACGTTGGCTGGCGTAGATAGAACGCCCTTGCAGATTGAGTTTGATAGATTGTTGCTATAGCAACAAAACAATATGATATAAAATATTGTATATATATGAAGTCAATGTAGTCCGTCAATCATACAAAAACAATATACATACATACAAATATGAAATACGGGGCGACTCTACCTACAAAGGTAGTCTAAAGAACTTTAGCTTATCCTTTTTTAGATAAACTCAAATATAATGCGGAATTTTTAAATTAATATAATAAAAATTAATATGTAAAATAATTTCTTGCCTTCGTAGAAAAGACAAAAAACAGACCTAAGTTACATACATAATTGAAAAGAAAGAAAGAATTCAATATAGTATATGTATGTATATATGAATTTGGCTACGACTGTCCATACGAAAACGGAGCATACATATGAATATGTACATATATATATTTGACTTTCTGCAGCAAGGGTAAAGAAGAGCGAAAAAATGCTGAACTTTTCATATTGTATGGAAAATTTGCGAACTATTTTCGCTATCTTCACCGCGATCAAGCTGAAAGCTATTCTAAGCCGGTTTGAACTGCGGGCCAGGCCTGGCCAGATGTTTGTTTGTCAATTGAGCTGATAAGAGTGTGAGCTGCGTAGATTTGGCCACATGTCTAACCTTTTTGTTGGCGATAACAATATCGTCGCGATCGTTGATCTCCGCCTTGATGGCCCACTCGCGGAACAGCGAGCGCGTCACAATGTTCAGATTGTATTTGCGATCGTAGCGCTCGCGGGGCGTAAAAAACGTGCAGTTGAGGTTGCCCGGATCATGGTAGACCGCGCCGCCGCCGCTGTTGCGACGTGCGAGCGTAATGCCGCGTTCCATTAGCCTGGAGACGTTCGCCTCGGTGAAGGGATTCTGATGACGGCCAATGACGACGCATGGCTGATTGGCCCACAGCAGCAAGACATGATGATGGCTAAAGTCAAAGTTCCTATAGAGCCAATCCTCGAGAGCTAGATTCGTGTAAATGTCATTCGATTGGGAGATGAAAACCGATTTCTTGATATCAGCGTCGGCCACAGCTGCGACCCTTTTGCCAGTCGACGACGATGTTTTTGTTGCAGTCGTTGGTGTTGTTGTTGTTGTAGTAGTAGTAGATGTAGTAGATGGAGTTGTATTGTTATCTGAGGCGAGCCGCGTGATTTCGGTTGACGTTGCGCCCAGGCGCTGCAGCAAGCGCAGCTGGCTCGAATTACGACGCAGTAATATGCTCATTTTAAATATGTAATTTAACAATCAGCCACAAAACGGGAACAGCTGTTACTTTTCTTCTCTTTTCCTTTGCTGTGATCGTCTTTTATTATTTTTATTGCACAACTCGATGCAGCGCTGTGTTATTGTTGTTGCCGTCGCTCTTCTTACAAGGAAGCTTATGGGCTCTGTTGCTATGCCGCTCTCACTCGCTCTTGCTCTCTGTCTCTTTTGCAATCAGACAACGGCAATGCACTTGCTTACTATTTGCGTTCGCTGTTACAACAACAAGGTCACCGTCAGTCGCTAATTGATATGTTGTTATTGTAGTTGTTTTTTTGTCGCTGTTTTAACTGCCGCTGTTCTGCTTCTTCTTTTTGTTAGGTTAGATTGAATTTTAAAGTCTATATGTTGTCTATGGCTAGGTGTGTGCGTATTAGTTATTATTTGTAGCGTTTCTATTTTAGCTTATTTTTTCTTTGTTGCTTTTTTTGTCGCTCAGCACGCTGTTTTTTCGTATTCCTTCTTTTGGTTTATTGCTTTTTATTATATGTATATATGTTTTCTTGATTTTGGCCGTTTGTTATTTTGGACTTTAGAGCGCGCTGGCTGGGACCTGGGTATCTGCTGCCACAGAGCTAGCGGAGATGAGGTATTCGTGCAGGGCGGGCGTCTGGTGAAGCCACTTCCAGGTTTGATGCAATCCGCAGACACGCTTACGAAGACCCAAACAGTCCTTGTTGTTGCACCAGTTCACTTGCATACTACGCTTTACACCCATCCAAGAATGAACGGTCTAAACAGTCGACAGGAATTTAGGCCAACCTCTGGCCAATCAGTGAGCACACACTTCTGCTACGCAATAAGCCCAACAATATACAAAATTATAGCAAATCGGTGGATACCGCCTTGAAAATTGAAAAAATTTTCCACTCGAATGTTTGTACTATGCGGGGGATGAAGCGAACGAACGCGGTGTAACACAAAACAAACACTGACACAAAGACTGTTCAGGCAACGGTAAATGTTGTACGCAGCAGTCACGTCTGATTCTCATTGGCGCAAGATAAGCACTGACAAACCTATTGGAATGGCAATTTCGAGCACCAGGCATAACAGCTGTCTAGCTAACAGATATGCTCCACACTTAACAGAAAGCTTTTCAAAATGGTCTTGTAACATACAATTTAAATATCAATACTAACGTTGAATTTGGCAACACATTTGGAAATTCTTGTAATTTAATTAACTTTACCAAAATTTATACAAAACATATGATGGCTAGGTTTGCTTGTGAATGTCAAAACAGCTGTCAAGCATACAAGCAATACATTACGATGTGTTTACAAGGCTTTACTATTACAATTTATTTTAAGCAGTGCTTCGAGAACCATTTCAATTGGGTATTCCGCCATTGTTGATATACTCTGCCTCCAAGGGATCGATCGGCTTGCGGGCGAAGCGCGCAGGCAATTCCCAATCCTCAATTGCTGGTCCTCCAGAAGTCTGTTGGATTTTTAATGAAATATTAGGAACCAAATCTAGAAATCTATGCATATCGTGCATCGCCTTATGTAGTTAATGGGCTACATAGTTAACCTTTTTGGCTCCGGAATCCTTTGAACTTGCCTGTTGACTTGCCGCTGGTTTGTTGGTCAAAGCTGAACCTCCCTTCCGAAATTGGATGAGAGGCACACGTTTTGTCAGCTGGACTATATTTAAACGCACCATTTTTAAAATACTCTTATTTAAAATCGGTTTTGTTTAATAGACAGTAATATGCCGAGCGAGAGTTACGTCAAAACAGCTGACTGTAAATCCTAAAGCAAAGTTGCCACACCGTTTTATAGTAGAACCATTCACACCGAGCGATAACAAGCGAACGAAACATTGCCACTCACAGGTCTGCAGCGCAGAAAAACAAATTTTTGTTTGTTATTTGATAATTGTGGAAAAAGTTGTGTGAAAATTATCTTCAAGCTGGCCAGCGCAATGAATGTCGCAGCCGGCGGCACCAGCACAGCTGCAGGCAGCGCCTCAAACAACAATGCACTGCCCATGGCTCAGCTAGCCGATGGGTGGTTAGAGCTAGAATCAGATCCGGGTCTCTTTACGCTGCTCTTAGAAGATTTTGGCTGTAAGTAAATTGAATTGACAGGGTCAGTATACTATATATAATTATTGCAGGTCACGACGTACAAGTCGAAGAGGTGTATGACTTACAAAAGCCTATAGAAAGTCCATACGGCTTCATTTTTCTTTTTCGCTGGATCGAAGAGCGTCGCGCACGCCGAAAAATTGTAGAGACAACGGCCGAGATATTTGTCAAGGATGAGGAAGCCATCTCAAGCATCTTCTTTGCCCAGCAGGTGGTGCCCAATAGCTGTGCTACCCATGCTTTGCTCTCTGTGCTGCTCAACTGCAACGAAAACAATCTGCAGCTGGGCGAAACGTTGAGTCGCCTCAAGGCTCACACTAAGGGCATGAGCCCGGAGAACAAGGGTTTGGCCATTGGCAATACACCAGAATTGGCATGCGCCCACAACTCGCATGCCATGCCCCAAGCGCGTCGTCGTCTGGAACGTACAGGTGCTGGTGTGGCCAGTTGTCGATTTACAGGGGAAGCATTTCATTTTGTTAGTTTTGTGCCCATCAATGGGCAGCTGTTCGAGCTGGATGGACTGAAGCCGTATCCAATGAATCATGGCTGCTGGGAGGAGCATGAAGATTGGACGGACAAGTTCCGTCGCGTAATGGCTGATCGTTTGGGCATCGCGACTGGTGAGCAAGACATTCGCTTTAATCTGATGGCCGTTGTGCCCGATCGTCGTATCGCCATCACCCATAAGCTAAAGATGTTACGTACCAATCAAGCCATTGTGTCGGGCACACTGCAGAAGCTGCTCAAAGCGGATGAGCAGGGCGACGATCAGCAGCGTCCGGATACGCCCAATACGCTGCTAGAGCCGAGTGCCTTTACAGCACGCGACCTGCAATCACTGCTCAAGAACCTTGATACGGAAATCGCAATCAATGAGCAGCATTTAGCTGATGAGAACGATCGGCGGCAAATGTTCAAAGTAGACGCCAGTCGTCGCACCCACAACTATGACAAATTCATCTGCACGTTTCTTTCCATGCTAGCACACCAAGGCGTGCTTGGCGAGCTAGTCAGCCAGCATTTGCTGCCCACCAAGAAGATAAGTGGACAGAGCGCCGCGAATCGACTCAGCAAACAGAGCAGCGCCGCCACAGCTAATACGGCAAACAGCGCTGCGAATGCCACAGCAGGAAAATCCCAGCCGCAACAACAGCAGCAACAGCAACAACAACAGCCACAATCGCAAGCTGCGAAGAATGGAAAGTCACCTGGGAAGACACCGGGTCGTAGACGAAAGGGGCGAAACAAGTGCAGAAAGCGCAAGTGATTCGCATTAAGATAAACTAAACTAATCTAAACTAGAACTTTTATATATTTAGTGAAATCTTTCATGGTTCCATTAAAATTCTTCCATCAGGAAGATGTCCTAGCTATCAAAATTTGTATCCACTTATTACTATTTAATTTGCGTCACTAGAAATGTAACTGATGTTATAGTTGATAAATATAATCTCAACTTCTTTCTTCGACTCAATTGTTTTCTTTTTTCGTCAGTCGTAATAAAAAATTAAATAAATTGCCAATAATGACATGCTTATCAAAATTAAAAAACATCCTTAAGAAGCTGTATATAACTATACACCTAATTTATTTAATTAGCTAAAATTGGTTATTATTTACATCTAAATTTCCGATTGCTGTATTTTTGGTTTCTGTTTTATTTGATCTTTTTTTCTTTTTATTTAATAATAAAAAACATTTTTGTTCATGGTTTTAAATGTTTCAAGTACGAAAATGTACGAGTGTGTGTATGTGTGACATATGTGTATGTATATATATATTTCTATATATCTATATGGTATTTATATAACAGAATAAAGAACCATTTCCATATGCTTCGGCGCAAACTTAAATTATGTAAATATTTGTTGTTCAACAAAACAAAAACAATGCACTCTAGCTATATATATATATATAGTTTTTTATGTTTTCATGTGTATTATGTATGTATTTATAAACTATGAAAATAAGGCAAATGTTTAACAAAAGTTTTGTTTTTATAAAGCTGGTGATGATTAGGAGGATGTAGTGTTTCATGTTTTTTTTTTTTTTTTTCTTTTTGATAGACTAAAGCTAAAATGTTTTTCAAGCCTTATATCTGCTAAGGATATGGCCGTACATGGTTTATATATATGTATAGTTAAATTTAACTTTTCATATGTGAGCAGTACAAGAGCAGCCTTTAGAAAACAATCATAAAGAATTACGCTTTATTTTATTATGTTCTTAACATTTTATACTACTTTTTTCTCCCTCTTTTGGTTTTTGTTTTCTTTTGTATATCTTTGTAGGATTATCCATTTAGGTTCTTTTTTGGAAGTAAAAACACTTTGTTGTTGCGAATTTTGCTCAGTCCACGAAATAAAATGAAATATTGAGAAACTAACATGCTGGACAACAGAGTTGACAATTTTGTGACTTCTATGTTGAATGTGTATGTGTTTTTTTCTTTTTTTGTTCTTTTGTGTGTGCTGTTTTTCATTTATGTAAATTGTGAATGCTCGTTGTGTACATTCATATCTGTTGCTTTTTATCTGTCTGCATTCAACTTGAAACCGTCGTGGTCGAATCCTCGCTTCCATTTGTAAGCTGCGTGGCTGTGGCTCCTTCCACTTCTGAACCTTCCTTAGGCTGTTCAGTGTCATTGTAGTTGATAGCAGCCACAAAGGTTTTGAGAGCAGCGGTTACCTCATTGTCATCGTTTGGGCCACTCTCGTCGCTCGTCTTCAAATGCTTTTCGATCTGGCTACGCACCTTTACAATATCCTTTTGACTGCACATTGAGAGGGAGATAAATATAAATATGAAGCATATTCAATAATATGAATTATATGCAATCAATTGCCCACCTGATGTGCACAAAGAGTATACCATTGATTGTGTTCAGCATTTCCAGTACAGAGCCCATTGAGGGCGGCGTTATGTGTATGGGTGGCAGGTCGCTTGTCAGCTTGCCATTGGAGTAGATGTCGTTCATCTTGCGCTGCAGGGCAACAGCCTCGTGTGTCAATAGACGCAGGCACTCGGCCGACTCACGTGTCTTGTCGTGCTTCTCGCCAAGCTATAATATGAAAAGTCGGAGAGAGTTAGTCAAACAGCCCGTTGCAAATGCGTCACATCAATCAGCTTGCCTGTGACTTGTAGATGGAGTAGGTCTCCTTTTCGTTGTTCAAAGCTGAGCGAAAATCGCCCATGCAGGATTGAATACGCGCCATCAGGTGATAGCTGACGGCCACGTGCATTGCTTTGTTGCCGAAGTACTTCAGATTCAGCTTCAGAGCATGCTCAATGAAACGCAATGAGAGCTCATATTCGCCCAGCGCGTGCAGGATCAAACTTATGTTGCTCTGTGCAGAGAGAGAAATAAACAAAGTTAAAGATAAACTGCGGTGCCTGCTAAGTTCGTCCACTCACATCGATGAGCGCCACCTCGGGATGATCCTCGCCGCAAATGAGAACCAGCAGATAGCGTGCGCGATAGAGCAGCTTCAGCGACATGCCCACATGTCCATTGGCGAAGGAGTAAAGCGACAAATGTGTCTGCAGAGAGAAAAGAGAAATGCATTTAACATATATACATATCTAATTATAATTATGTCTTACGTATTCCAGTATAGTTGATGGATGATCAATGCCATTGACGCGCTCGCTCATGATGACTGCGCGCTGTTGTATGGCCAACGCATCCTGAGCATCGCCAAGCAGATAACTCAGCCGTGCCAGCATACGCAGACAGGAGCCATTCTCCTGATGCATAGCTCCGAAAACGTTGTTCAGCAAATTGAGCGCCTCGCTGATCAATTCGTAGCCCTCCTTGAGCAAACCCTGTTGGATCTTGGCTTGTCCCGTTGTATAGAAATTATAGGCATCTGTGGCTCTTGGACTAATGTGCTTGACCACCGGGAACACATTGACAATATCGTCGTCACCAAAGGTGGGCTTGTGCTTCGACTCGAAGTTGTATTCACGCAACAGCACCTGGATGCCCACCTTCAAGCAGAAGGCGCGCAACAAGCTGATGCGCAACAGGCCATACTTGGCACAAGCGCTCTCAATGGAATCGCAGTCCAGCTCCCAGTTCCAATAGCTTTTAATCTCCTTGCGTATCTGCTGCCACAAGGAACGTGGTGTGACCAGCGTCCAGTCGTAGTTGCTGCTGCCGCTGTTCGATGCAGTGTTGGCTGCAGAATTGGCCGATCCATTGGCTGATGTGGAGCTGTGGCCATTCTGTGTGGCGGCTGTAGCCGATGTTGATTGGGGCTTGCCCGATTTGTTTGATTTGTTGTGTTTGTTGTGCTTGCCGCCGTTGTTGCGCGATTGTTTCTTGTGTACCTCCTCGCTGCTGACGGCGGGATTCACCGGCCCAGTGGTCAACAGGCAATTAAGGAAATGGCTAATCGCCGCCGAGAGATGCAGTGGCTCGGTGCTCTGCATATAGGTGTAGTAAATGTGCTTTGTGGCACGCACAATCACCTCGAGAATGGCGATGCGATGCAAGTAGTCCATGCGCGGCATTTGGCCGAGCATCTTGATCACCTTGCCCAGGTAGCGCACGTTGATGCCATGGCTGTGCAGGGACTCAGTGAGACTCTGTCCATCGATGGGCGGCGAGGAGTGTGCCATATGCTCCTTGATGAAGGCGGGGATTTGCTTGAGTACTAGAAATTCGGCTGCATCCTGCACGAGACGCTTCTGCTTAGCCAGAGATTGAACGCCGCTCTCGGGGCTATCGACGTGACGTATGCCTGGCGAGAAGACATCCGGATTGAAGCGGAAATCAAACTCCTTCTCCTTCAGTGAGCCCACAGCGGCGCATGCGCGCTTTACAACTTCTGCAGCTTGTATCTCATTCGAGACGGCCACATTTGATTGAGCCTCACGAATGGCATTGACCATGGCCTCGGCGCTCTTCGTCTCAGTGGGACTGGGTTTGGATTCTTTCTGCTCGTCTTCCTTATCCTTATCCTTTTCCTTCTCCTTTTCTGTCTGCTCCGCACTGCTCTTTTTCGCTTGCTCCTTCTCTGGTTCCTCTTGTTTTTCCGTTATGGAAGGCAGCTCCTTCTCAGCCTGCTTTTTGGCATTCAGCTGCTGCAAATGCACTGCAGCAATGCGAATGAACGTCACATAACGATCCTCAATGAATGCCTCAAGCAGCTCTTGGCGCAGACAGCAAAGCTTATGGCGATGCTCAATGGGAAAGCCCATATCCGTCAGTTCCTTGCTCAGCTGCACATCCTGCAGCTTCAGGAAGTTGACATCTGGTGGGAACGTGCGCAATAGATCGAGAATATAGTGTCGGCCATCGTTTCCAATGATTCCCTTGCATTCGACAGAGGAGCACAGCTCCACTGGCTCATCACGTTCATTCAGAACCGAATGGGGCAAGATCTTCAAGTGTTTACCCGCGAGGCGCAACAGCTCCAAGTACTTGGGATGACTGAGCACCGTTTTGCCGAAGTCAATCGAGCCGTAGACAACCGACTGCTCCTGCTCACGCTCCAGTATACCAGGTATAATGGATTGGGCGGTCACACGATAGCCACGATAGTCAATAACAACTGTGCCCAGGGTATACAGACCCTCGATATCCACAGCATTATACACACGCACACCATGCAGATCATATCGAGGCGCTACAAAAGCAGCATGATCGCCGCCCAGCTCCTTGTAATGGTCGCGCACATCGAATCCCAGCGAAAAAAATATGTTATTCCAGATGAACATTTGCATTTTGGGATCCTCGCCGGGATTAATGGCCAATACATTGCCATCAATGACAGCCATGGCTCCACGTGTTGCAGCCGTCACAAAATCTCCGTGAACCTTAAAGATTGCACGCTCGCGCAGCAAGCGTTCTGGCAGTGTCTTGCGTGGCAGTTCCCGGGTCGTCTGCAGCTCCTCGTTCCAGTCGCGCGTCTGACCGGGTATATGCTCCTCGTACCTGAAGTAAAAGATTTATTGAATATCAGAGCATTGACTAGCTTTTTGAGACTTACCCCAGTTTGGAGCTAAAGGCATCTTCGGCACGTATGGCATCAACAGTGTGCTCCAATTGGGGCGCTGACCACTGATACACCTGATAGGGCGTCGCCACACGCTCAAAGGCGTGTCGCATCGTTCGTCGCTTCTGTATAGTTTGGAAGGCGCGACGGAACGACGGCGAAATGTGCGACAATAGATCGATGAGTGAATGACTCAAATGGCTAGGATTATCCGGTTTCGGATTGAAGCATTCGTCTGTGGATTGATTAATATAAAAGCCCTTGGAACAGGCAGAGATGTGAAAGCGTTTATCCTCCATGGTGACCACATACAGATACATCAGATCGCCATGCAGCTTACGTGGCCCAGGTGGTGGATTCCATGCCGATGTGGTCAACACTTTGAGCGCCTGCGGGCCCTTTGCATTCTTAATATTAGGATGCAGTGGCAATAGCGGCGGCTCACGAACACCGGGTATCACATAATCGGGCGGTGTGCAGTCGACAGAGTCGGGACGTGTTCGTTTCTTGTCCAGGAGATCGCCTTGTGTGATGGTATTTAAATATGTTAGCGAGGTGCAATCGATGCCGTTGTATGCATCGGCCGGATCTAAATTTTTCAGCAGATCTCGCACATGGCGTACATGGATTCGTGCTTCGCGCATTGTGTACGGCTCTTCAACAACGCGTATGGTGGAGCCCTGCTCCAGCCCTTCAATGGTTTTTAATTCAGCAAAATTATCCAACGTTACATTGTCCAATTGCAGGGAGAAACAAGTTCTGTGGCATGTCTCTTCCCGATCCATTAGCAGCTGGTGAATCTCCTGTACCAGCTCCATGCTCGACAGCTGCACGGACAGCACATCTGCGCCAGGGCTGCTGATGTTGACAGTTATACCAACATCATGTAAGGCATCAAGATCAACATCTTCGCCAGATGCAGCAGCTTCGCCCTCGGTAGCAGCTCCACCATCACCTGATGAGCCGACCTCTGCTGCTGCTTCGGTTGCTCCTGCTGCGGCTGTTGCTCCCTCTTCTTCAACTTTCTTATCCAGCACATTTGCATTGGCATCGGCGGCATCTCCATTAACTGATGCCTTCTCGGCGTGCCCATTGCTGAGAGCAGCGCTCGCTGCTGATGCATCTTGCTGCGGTGGGCTTTTGTTACGATTTTTCTTGCCTGCATTTTAAAAAACAAAAACACGAATTATTATTCAAATAGTGGTCAAAGGTTAAATCTAATGAGCAAATGTTTCTAAATTATTTATGAGGTTTTCTCACCAATAGTGCATGAATTAGTTAAATTTAGCAGCTTATAAAGTGTATTACTGGAATAAATAACAAAGATTGCAATATATACTCAAATTCCGATTGCATGTCGAACTGGTTCTGACAGCGATTAGGGTTTCGGCTCACAATCCCATAAGATGACGAAATATATAGGTGTGATGTGCAATTATATATTAATCGAGATATTTTAATTAAACCAGTTAAGTTCCGAAATTTGCTAATCCCAATAACCTGACCTCACCTACATTTTGGCTCATTTGTTACATAACAGTGCTCAGCGAGCATTTACTTTTGCCATTCACTGTAGCCGGCTGCATGCACATACACATGGCGACTTACGCACACACACACAATCAAGCACACATGTTTCGTTCGCTGTAAAACAAAACAAGAGAAAAGCAAACAAACCGAGTCACAGCAAACGCTGATAAGACTGAGTTGCAAGAATGCAGCCGCTAAATTTAACTCAAATCTCAAGTGAATAATCCGACATCTTTTTTTTCACAGAGCCATGTTAATTTCTACAGCACAGTTACAAATTACAGCGAAACCTAATTTCATAAACAAATCTGGTAGATTAAGTGCTGATATCCAACCAGAGACAGAGAAAGAGAAAGAGAAAGAGAGAGAAACTTATGCTTGGGATCATTTTGTTGTAGGTGTAGTATATCGAAGAAGAAGAAAAACATGATTTACATAATTACCAAGGCGATATATTGTTTATGTGAGTGTATGTGCGTGCGGCTTTTGTTTGTTTGTTGCATGCGAAAGTGAGTGCGTTTAGCAAGCACGTGGTAATTGTAGGTTAAAGATTCACTTAACTCGACGCCGCAGGGGGTTAATGAACATAGGAGCAACGACACATAAACATGTGAATGTATGTGCGCGTTGCCATGCTTCAAGAAAACGCATGAGCACTTATACTCACACGCACCGCATTGTACACAGTACGTAACTCCCACTTATACAAATGCAATTGAAACGCACGCGGCGGAGGCAACGTCAATAGCGCCCAGCAATAAACGAACAGACGAGCAGGCCACATTTAAAGCATTATAGAAAAATACATTACGTAACGTAAAAATGTTATGTGATGGACTATTCGTTCTCGAAAATATCGCCTTTAACAGTTAACATTGTCATTTACTGGTTTTATTAGCACATATAAAAACGGAAGTGCAAGAATGGGTATGGCTAGAGAGTGGGGGGGTCGGTTGCTTTGATCGAAAATATCATAGTTAACGCACCTTTCTTCTTCGGAGCGGCGCTGCTGCCATTGACCAAGTTCTTTTCGCCGGCTGCGGGTACATTATTGTTGTTGCTGTTGCTGTTGCTCTTGTTCTCCTTGGCTTTGGCCTTGCCAGGGGCACCACCGTCGCCAGTCGCAGCCGCCGCCGCATTTTTTGCATCAATCTCGAGCGCCATGCTGCGTATGTTTCTGTTTTAGCGCACAAAAACCCAAATCCAAATTCTAATTCTATTACACGTTCACGCTGCCGTGTTACACAACTCAACGCTGCTCTGGCGACTGCTGATTGCTTGCTTGCTCTTGCCTTCTGCTTTATGCCCTGCTCTGCTCACTGCGCTCAAACCGATTGCGCGTATGTGATTTTGATTTATAACTAGAATATCTAATATAAACGAGGATTTATTGTCCGGGTAAATGTTTGTAAACATATGACAATTATATCTTTGGCTACGTTAGCGTTAACACACAACACTGAACTACGATTTTAGTCGTTAATTTGTAAATTAACGCGTTGTTTTTCAGCTGGAATCCGCCAGTGTGACCGAATCAAACTACTGATATAATAGATTTATTTAACGATAATAAAATTCGGTATTTTTGGTATTCTCAATGACCAGTCACCATTGAACGTCAACACGCGAATAGTAAAAAAGAAAAAACTTAATGACGTTTGTCAACAAACATGTCGCTGATTAAAAATTTAGTTAAAGAGCCAGAAGAAAACAGACCTCGAAAAAAGAAAAAGAATGGAGACTCCGAAGACAGCGACAATGATGAAAAACCCAAACCAGTGGGGCCGTATATTAAAAGTGCTACAGATCTACAAAGATTGAAGCTGGAAAAATTAATGAAAAATCCAGTACGTTTTATCAATATTTTAGTGTAAACAATAACTTATTGAACATATTTTGACAGGAAAAGCCAGTTATTATACCAGAACAGCGGCGAGAACGTGACTACATGTCGTCAGTTCCCACCTTTGTGCGCAATGTAATGGGCAGCAGCGCTGGCGCCGGTTCTGGTGAATTCCACGTCTATCGTCATCTGCGACGCAAAGAATATGCCCGTCAGAAGAACATACAGAACCAAAGTCTGAGAGAGGCTGCCGACATGGCCTATCAACAAAAATTAGATAGTAACAGGCAAGCAGCTGAAGAGCGTACTGCAAAAAAGCGTGCGAAGCGGCTTAAGAAGAAGCAACGTGCAAAACGACCCCGCGAACAGAAACCAAACGAAGAGAAGAAAGTGGATGCTGAGTCGAGTGGAAGTGGATCTGAAGACGACGCTGAGACAAGAACTGAAGCGGATACAGAAAGCGAAGTCAAGGAGGAAGCAACAACAGCTATAGCGTCAGCGGAAGCTACAAACTCTAATGAAGAAAGGGAAATAGTTGTTGATGCACCTGCTGAAGCTGGAAACCAAGAGAAAGATACCACAGCTGATGCGGATGCTGAATCATCCAAGGCAGACACTTGACGTAATTTAAAACATTCTATTTTATTAACCTTTTGTACCCATTATAAAAAATATAGCTAGTGGTTATTAAGTGAAACAAATGTATGGATTTATTCATGTTATGTATGTATATATATTTATATATATTAACCAGTTTGTGCAGCGATATAATTGCAATTATAATTATAATTGGCTGTATCGATTGCATCTTGTGTGGCTTATCGGTATAACAGGCCGTCGTTTAAAGCAGCTTTGGTGATGAGAGAAGCGTTTTTTGCATTTCATTTTTGTTTAAATTGTGATTCCCATAGCTTATGCTAGAAAAGATAGGTGTAAGAGTGCTCTGAATATATATATATATATCGATTATATGTTGTAATCGAATGTGCTCGACTAAATTATACCCTGTACCCAGTGCGTCCGAGCATGCGTTGCATTTGGGCGCTATATTAAATAGAAATTATATGCATTGGGTACTGGGCATTAAAAATGTCTTTAATTATTGATTTTTGTCGTTTTTGTTTCTCTGAAGAAGCAAATTTATTGTTTACAATTTGTATTTTTTTTCTTTCTTTCTATTTTCTTTTCCATAATCCTGTTGTTCACTTCTTCGTCTTCATTTCTGAGTGTGTATTTACGAAATTTTCAAATGTTCCACAAATAGTTAATAATGTATACATATATACTATATTTCTTCTGCCTTTGCACTTATGAACAATTATATTAAAATTAAATTTGCAGCATTTTACTAAAGTAAATCATATTTTTTTGAACTTAAAGCAAACTTAAACTTGTACACATTAAATTTTTCATTATAAGTTTATTTGTATTGTGTTTTTGTTTAAATCCTTTTTGCAAAAAAAAGAACACAAAACTTGGGAGCTGTATTCGTAAATAATTGTAAAAGCGTTCTTTATCATTATATTTTCTTGTGTTCTTTTATATTAAAATTACCTCAATTTCATTTGCATAAAATGCGAAGTAATTCTCAATAAAAACATTTTTTTTTTAAATCGTTCGCTCTACAAATAGAAAGTGTAAGAAGAATACATTTCTTGCTGCTTATTTTCTTGTTGATTGAACTTGAATTTTCTTAAATATTGCGCGAGGGCGTGGCATATATATTATAATAATCTATTAATATGCGCTTATATGCAACAAAAATTTAGAAATGACAACATCGTTAAGTTTCGTGTCTACACAGACTGCGTGTGGTTTTTTTTTTTAGCATTTTGGATTTTGACATAAACATTTTAAATCGTACAATTGTTCTTATATGCATGTGTATTTAATTTTTTTCTTTTTTAATTTTTAAGTGCTTTGCAAATTGTTTTTCACACTCACAAGAAAACTATTGGAAAATTCAACTACAGATCTTAAGTTTTTGTCGGCTAGCGAGCGTGCTTTTGTTATCTTATTAATTTTTGTTTTTCTTTTATATTTGTTGAGGCGCGTGAGTCTACACAGCATTTAAATTAATAGTAATCGTATGTATATTTAAAGGTATATATATATAGATATATATGTATAAACTCTTATATA